TTTTTTTATTTTCAAACGCCTTTCTCTAGGCGATTTAGTGCATACGGGTTTAAACCCGTGATCTGGACTGTAACGTCAGTCTAAAGAATATGACTGGTTTCATTGATATATTTATATTGTTGTCTTTTCGACTACCGGAGAATCTTGAAGGTTAGGTCTATTTTTTCAGAAACACTGTTCATAGAGATCTTTTAGTCGGAAATTAAGTGGTAGCCGAATGCGGTACGCAAGCTCATGTATAGTCATTAACAGAAGGGAATCCATTTCTCTTGAGCTTTACACTACGCAAATTCTTTTAGAAGTTTTATAAGTTTTGAAGATGCAGTCTAAAATTCGATCTTGTCACTGTCGACTTTATTTTTATTTGACGCACAGTTCACTTTGTATCTTCAATTTTGTTTATTGTCTTTGGTTGTCGGTGATTCTAAACTAGTTGTCAAGAGTGATCACTATTGTCATTCACATTATTTGGACTCCCTAATCAGCTTGTATTTATGAAAGGCATGTTTTCCTTCACGTCAATGCATGATATATAGAAACTTATTGCTCGTACAAAAGCTTTTACGTTTATGTTTCAGAGGATGAGTCTATAGTAACATGTGACGTTGCCACGCAGACGCTTCCTGCCAACGAAGCACAAGAGGAAGTCAGCGCTGAAGCAAAGCCACTTGATCAGATCTCACGAGAATGGAGTGAAGGTACCTCTAAAGTTTCCTTTTTTTCGGTTTCTATAATCGTTGTTTACTTTATTTAACTGTTTTCCTAATTTTTCAGGCAAAACAATCTCGGCTTCAGACGCTCTGCGTCTTGTCAAACGTGGTATTGTTAAATGTCGCGAATTAGAATCACATCTTGATGCGGAGACAGCTATATCTGTTAGGCGAACGTTCGTAGCTCCCGATGTGTTGAAACAGTTGCCGTATCAAAATTATGATTACAAATATGTAATGAATTTATATTCGAACTGCTTTTATATTTTCATTTTCCTCTTGTATTTTCAGGTGACAAACTCTTGCTGTGAGAATGTGATTGGCTACATACCCATTCCCGTTGGTGTGGCTGGCCCATTGCGTTTAAATGGGAGAGATTTCTACGTTCCAATGGCCACAACAGAGGGAGCCTTGGTTGCTAGCACTAATAGAGGTTGCAGTGCTGTAACGGTGCGTTCGGGATTCATAGTTTCGGCTGCTAGATGTTCTTGCTTTAGCGCAGTGGTGGTGTGACAGCAAACGTTTTTGATGAGGGAATGACTCGTGCTCCTGTCGTAAAATTTCCAACTGCGCAAGAAGCTGTGTAGGTTTTGCAAGTGTTAGTCACTTCCGGCTTATGTAATTATATAGCTTGTAATTTTCATTTTCGTTTTTTAAATGTCATCTTGAACTTTTTTGTTTCGTTTAAGCTTTTCAGTTTTCGTAACTATAGAGTTCTATACAAATGTTTTTAAATTTCTTTCGGGCATGGATAAGATCTATTGTTGGAGTTTGATTTATATTGTTCTATAAATCATCCATTGTAATCTACTGTTTTAAGTGCGTTAAAAAGATGGTTTGACAGCTCCGAGAATTTTGCTTTGGTTAAATCTGAGTTCGAGTCCACTAGTAGGTGAGTTTTGCCATGTTTCCTGATAAAGGTTGGTCCACGAAAACATCGTTTTTTGTAGATTTGCTCGGCTGCGGCAGGTTGAGGTTGCTATAGATGGTAACTTGGCATTCATTCGATTCGTAGCTGTCACAGGTGATGCAATGGGAATGAATATGGTCTCTAAGTAAGTTCCTCAGCATTTGTTCCAGTCATAAGTTTCCTTCTTTTAATCAGTTATACATCTTCAGGGGTTGCTCTTTGGCCATGCATCTTTTGAAGCAGAAATTCCCCACGATGCAACTTCTTGCTCTCAGCGGCAATTATTGTGTTGATAAGAAGGCTGCAGCCATTAATTGGTTTGTTTATGTTCTTTTTTGCTGCATAGCTGATCAAACAGATAGCAGCACGGAAGAGTGACGCAATAAAGTTTGCTGAAATCTTGCGAATAGTTTAGGATCAAAGGACGCGGACGTTCCGTGGTTGCAGATTGCACTATTCCAGCAAATATAGTTCTTTCCATTTTCAAAACAACTCCTAAGCAAATGG